AGCTATAAAGAAGGATCACATTGAGATATTTATCAATAAATGGGCGCAGCTTGAGACCATACTCATAAGTGAAATAAATCAATCTCGCATGTATGAATACCAAATAGTTTCCCTAATGTAAGTAATGATTCAAATATATGAAAATATGTGGCAATCATGATTCCCCATTATGTGGCCTTGAAGCCTTATAAAATTTTTACTTATTAATTAGAAAGGCTTTATTCCGGGCTTCTTGATATGGAAATATTTGAAGCTATAGTATATGAAGTTTTATCCAAATATCTCAAGGAAAAAGACAGACACTATGGTAACTATTATTCTTTAAAAAAATTATTTAGTTATTTCTTATGTTTATTTTAATTAAGGGAAAAATTTTAAAAATTAGGATATATAATAGTAACTCTTTTCGATTTCCTATTAACTTGTTTTGAAGTCCTGTAATGCTCCCACGATCTTGTTTTGACTGATTAGACTCTGTTCCATTCTGTGGGAGAGTATCAGGTCCGAGGGTATAGGCAACTACTTTGAAGGCAGTAAGATTCACTAAGATGCCCATTCTGGTTTGACTATTGTCTCCTTTGGAAGTCCTGTAATGTTTACAATGTCTAAGTTTTATTGGTCTTGTTCTCTACTGTTTTGTCCAACTTTATAATATCTAATGAGATAGACAAATCTTTTTAAGGAAACAAGAGACAACGTTGATAACTATTGTTAATAACCGTATACTCTGTTCTACATCATGTGCTAAGTCTATCCTTGGTTTTCACTGACAGCTTTGTTCTGCCATATTTGACTTTATTCTCCCCCCCCAAAAAGTAATAAGAACTAAGGAGTAATAAAATCTAAAATGTGTAAATTTTGATGTAAAAAGAGAGGAAGGGGAAAAAAGAGCTCTAACGGATATAACAGCAAGTGTGTATAGGGATGTTGAATAGCTGACTATATTAATGTTTTTGGATCATTGAACACAGCTGTTTGTAGTCTCTTTGTTTGAATGTCTACTTTGTATTCTTTGATACTGTGATTTGAGCAACTATTTCCAAGATGATAATATGTAATCTATTAACAGGTGATTTCTTACTGTTATGCTTTTTTTTGTAGTTCTGTATTATATGTAACCTTACACTGCTTTGTTTTGTTTTGTGTTTTTCTCTTTTTCCTCTTAAATAAAAATAAAATAAAATAAAATAAAATAAAATAAAATAAAAAATAGTCTTTCCTGCTTTCTTCTGGAGTGTGATAAAAAATATGATGTATTTAATTTAAAATTTATTACAGTAAAATATGCATTGCTATCAATCTAGCTCAAAATATTTTCTCTTGCTTTGAACACACTTAACCAACCACTCCCACCATTCTGTGAAGCAGATCTAGATGTCCTGATCTGTAAATGACGTCGTTTGGGCTGTCCTAGCTGCCTCAGTGTCCCAGACTGACTCAAAACATTTGCCTTCCATTTTGACTTTGGGAAAGAGCCACAAGTCACAAGGTGCCAGATCCAGTGGATAAACTGAATGAGGACACACCATAATATTTTGAAGAGTCTTCTTTTCTGTTGAATGACACCCTGCAGCAGCATTTGATCTTAGCTCAAAAAGGCACTCTCAAAAAGAGAACTTCCAGAACTGCCCAAAAAGTGACAAGAACAATGGGACAAATATGCCCAAAGTGAGGAAGGTTAATGTACACCTTTGCATTTCATATAGTTTACAGTCATCTTGGGGAATGCTTACATGTAAATATTACACCATATTTCTTTCTTTTTTAAAAAAGTTTCCTTCTCCTTTTCTCCCCTTCCTCCCCTCTTCCTCTAGTTCACCTATTCCATTTTTTATTCTTGTTAATACTATTTGGCTTAACTTATGTTATAGCCTATAATGTTTATGTAATCAGGTGCCTGTACATGACATATCTTTATTCTTATTTCCCCCTCCCTCTTCCCCACCTCTCGCCCTTGGACCATTTCCTTACTGGACTAGACCTATGCCCTTGTCCCTTTCTAGTCAACTTTTATCATTTCCTTTGTTTGTACTTTTCCTCACTCAAATGAGAGACACCATATGGTACTTAAGCTTTTGTGCCTGGTTTATTTCATTCAATATTGTATTTTCCAGGCGCATGCATTTTCCTAAAAATACCTCAAATTTGTCATTCTTTATAGCAGAGTAATATTCCATTATACACAAGTACTTCACTTTCTTTATCCAGTAATCAGTTGATGGGTACACAGCCTGCTTCCAGGATTTAGCTATTAAGCATTGTATGTTACAAACACGGTATGCACATATTGCTGTAGTATGATGACTTAAGCCCTTCGGGGATGATACTTAGCAGAGGGGTAGCTGGGTTGAGTGGAATTTCTAATTTCAGTTCTTTGAGAAATCTCAAACATTTCCTTATGATTGTACTAGTTTGCATTCCCATCAACAATGAAACGGGGTCCCCTTTTCACCACAGCCATGCCAGCATTTGTCACTCCTTGATTTCTTAATGATTGCCATTCTTTCTGGAGAAGACGGACTCAGCATTGTTTTGATTTGCTTTTCTCTAAGGCCCAGAGATGCTGAACATTTTTTCATGTATTTCTTGATCATTTGTATTCTTTCCTCTGTGAAGTGTCCATTGATTTATTTTGCCATGAACAGCTGCCCGCCATGCCATGCTGCCTTGGAGCCAATTGAGTATGGACTGAAACCTCCAAGAACTGTAAGAATAAACTTTTCCTTCCCTAACTTTGGGCATGAGGTATTTTCTGTATTCTAGATATTAGTCCTCTGAGGCATAGCTGGCAAAAAAATTTTCCCATCCTTTTTCTCTTCACTCTACTGATGGATTTTCTTGTGTTACACGGAAGCTGTTTAGTCTGATACAATCCTGTTTGTTAATTCTTGTTGCTATTTCTCATGCAATTGAGGTTCTGTTTAGAAAATCTTTTCCTACACTTGTCTTCAAGTGTTTTACTCATTTTATCTTCCAGAAGGTTTAATGTTTCTGTTTTAATGTTTAGATCTTTGGCTCATTTTTATTTTAATTGAGTAGGTGGTGAGAGATAAGGGTCCAGTTCTATTCTTCTACAAACAGATAATCAGTTTTCCCAACACCACTGTAGAATAGGCTGGCTTCCCTCCAACATATGCTTTTGGACCCCTTGTCAAAAATCAAACAGCTGAATATGTCTGGGGAGCTAACCCTGCAGTTACTGGGGATAGATGTCTCAGCATCTCTTAGGAGGATGACCATATGCAATATAGCAAACATCAGAGATTCCTTCTGTCTTCTGTTTGAAGGCAAAGGTTGTTTCCACTGTGTTGTTTTGTTATGCTTCTTTTGCTCTTCAGTACTCTCAATTGGTTTTATCATGTTCTATTTTTAGTCTGATTTTTCTATACCTAATTGACTGGACAACTATTTTGAAGATAACGAGATATACCATAGTACCTATTACTACTATCCCAGTATCCTACTGTGAAATTCTGTACCAGTTCACTGCATTGTCTCCATTGGCTTTGTTCTGTCTTGTTCTGTTGTATTTTTACTACTTTCAAAATAAAATAAAATAAGTTATCCAAAATTGTATCCCAAGTTTATAATTCTCTGACAAGTTTTGATATTACAAGTTTGTCATAGTTAGTGGCCTGTATATCAAGGTTGCTCTAAAATATTAACCAGCATAAAATGTTTATTTTATTGCTTATTTTGTATTGACTATTTCTAAACTTTGCAGGAATCTGGTCATATGATAGTATGCTAGGCATCCATAATTAGTCCAATTTAGAATAGCCCACAGTTATTTATGAATCTAGAAAAACAAGATTAAGCAGCTTAGAAAGATTGAACTTATCTTTAGCTTTCCTCTTTCTGGAAAAAGTAGACAATAATAACATTCTTTTTACATCTTTCCTTATACAGAAAAGAGCTGAGAGTAAAAGTATATTCTTCAAAATGTGACTTGACTAATATTTCTCTTATGGAAACAAAGCATATACATTCAATTGTTAAGGGTCCTTAGCATTTTCTATTCTCAGTAGTTATGCCTATTGACAAAATATAACACTAATATTCCATATTTAAAATACTAAAGTCACAACAATTCCAGCAATGGCCAAGGATCGGGGATAAATTGCTTTTAGTATTTGCAATATGTTTAGTCTTCTTTTTTTTTAAGGTTCTTGTAAGGCTTCAGCACGTAAGTTTCTTATTTTTAAATTGAAAATATTAAAGTAAATAATAACTTCTTTCCTCTTGGAGTTTACATTTTAATTTTCTTCTTTGGCATTCTTCTATCATTGACTAAAATTGTACTCCTGAACTAAGAGCATCTTTATGTTTGAAAGAATATTGTCAGGGAGGTAAAAATTCCTCTCCACTGTTATTCTCAGTAGTTGAGGGACCTGTAAATTAAATTAACAAAAGAGATTAACAGGGAAAAAAAGCACACAATTTTTATTCATATTTAAAATGAACAGGAATTTACAGAAAAGAAATAATGAATTTACAAGGTTGGGTTACAATGGCCACCCACAAAGTCAAATGTGGAAGAGTGCAGAGGGTGTCTGCACACTGGAAACCAAAGGTCTGGAGCTCACTGCAATGTCCCATGTGAGTCCTTAACAGGAGGCTAATGGGTCTGTGGTGGAAGGCTGAGGAGTCTGCACCAGAAGCCAGGAGATGATGTCCAAGGTGAAGGTAAAGACTGAAGTTACTCCAAAGAAACAGAAGCAGATCTGTCCTTCCTCATTTCTTCTTTATACCATCCAGGCTATGAGCCACCTGAGAGTATGGAATTGCTGAGCTAAGTTAATTGAGATTCTCTTACTCAAATTGACACAGTCAGTCAATGGGCACAGTGTCCTTTCCACATTTCCAATGTTAAAAGCAAGGAGAGCAGGATGCAAGATGAAGTAGATTCATGCTCTTGTTCCAAAGGCCCAACACTGTAAAACTGAGAAATTAGCTCTGCAAAGTTGCCAACATTAATTTTCCTTTTCTTTTCCTGGTAGGCGTTTACATAGGCCTAACCACATCTGGATTTTGGAATTATACTGATACATTGTGGTATAACATGACAAATATCATCTACTCACACCTGCGAAGAGGTAATTCCTCTGACTGCCTTCATCTTCAGCATTTCACCTATTAAACATTTGTCCTACCATTCCTGACTTTCTGCAGCAGTTTTTGAAGTCCTCTTTCATGAGTGTCTCTAATAGCACTCTTGTGGCTTTCTCAATATTCTGAATCATTTTGAAACTTTTACTTTTTATGGTCATTGTGACTTTGGGGGAAGAGCCAGAAGTCTCATGGTGCCAGATCTGGTGAATAAGGTGGATGAGGACACATTGTAATGTTTCAGCAAGGCTTGCTTGTCACTAGATGGCACTGGGCACCAGCATTCACCAAAGTTTTTCATCATACTTGGTAAAGATAATCATCAAAGAGGACTTCCCGAGCTGCTTCAGAAAGGGAGAAGAACAAACGCATAATTGTATTGAAGTGAGGGGTAGTGTGTTGAGAGGGATTAATAGCAATGTGTCTTTTACAATAATACATTTGTAAAATTTAAGTTCACTGTAAATTTTGATCACTCCTTGTATCTTAACATTTGATCTCTTTTTATGAAATGTCTTTGCTTTGCCAAAATGCTTAGCTTTTAATTTTTTAATCCATTGTATGATTTCTTTCTTTAGAATACACAGGACTATCAGTGATGGATATGGTTTTAACAAATCATTTTTTAGTTCTCCTCACTTCTTTGGGTCTTTTTATAAGTGGAGATCTTCGGTATCCTTTAGCCAAAGACTTAAAAGTATGTAAATTACTTGCTAACTAATCATTAACCATAAATATCTTCTGTGACATAAAGCAAAAACTGAAATTTCTTTTTTTTTTCCTCTTCTAGCTTTCCAGAGCAGATTTTTGTGGTTTTGAAAGGGTAAGAATCTTTAAAACGGCTGCTTAGAAAATACTTGTTTATTGGGGAACTGAGAAGATGAAATACAAGACAATAATTTTCAATACAGAGTATGCATATTACCATAATATTATTATGATTTACTGTATGAAAATATATGTACATACACATACACACACACACTTTCAGCAGTGATTAGGCATTTTAGTTTCAAGAAAGAAGTGTTTCTCCTTGTTCAGAAGCCGCTCTAATCCCTGTTGTTGTATTCTGTATGGGATTGCTATGATGGCTCAGGTGGTATTGTGCATAAGGAAACTGCTTGAAGAAAATAGAAGCTGGAATCTAATAGCTCATACCCCAACCTACGTATTCTAGTATTAGTGTATGTCTACCTGGAGAAAGAGCTTTTTTTCTATTTTAAACAAAGAGGTCATAAAATCATGCCATAGCTCTGCTTGTGGCCTTTTGGAGGGAATTTTTGTTCCATCAGTTATCTAACTGTGAACTACAATAGTACCTTGATTTCCAAACTTAACTCATTTTACGATTTTGGAGTAGACAACTGTGTTTGTATGAGGAAGGTGGCTGTGGTCATATTTGTCACCCAATGTAGAGTTTGAAAATGAAAGCAAAATCTTGCCAAATTTTTTGGTTCAAAACTGGATTGCTTGTAAAAAGAAGTGTTTGTGAACTGAGGTATTATTGTATATACTTTTTTTAAAAAAGTAACAATTTAACTACCAAAGAAAGAAAAATATAAAATATCATTTCCAAAATAAAGAATAATCCATCATTTCCACAAAAGAAGAAAAGCAGAAATAAAAAGTAAAAAATAAACTAAAAGTAAGACGGTAGAAATATGTCCAAATGTACCAACAATTGTAATAAATGTAAATTATCATTATTGAAAACAAAAGAAAAGCTAGCTATATGCTAAATACAAAAGGTATACCTAAAACTGACTCACATAAAAAGTAAAATATAAGGATAGAAGAGATTGTAACTTTAGTTTTGCTCCCTACCCTACCATAACTGTCAACTTCCATGACTAGTTTACTTGCTGTTAAGTCCAAAGGCTGCTAGGGCTGAAGGAGAGCTGGAATCACTTGGCTTGAGTCTCTTCTTTCATGGGGTATGTAGGGCTATGACTTGAACATGGTTTGACACCCTGAAACTCACGTTCATTACTTGGAAAGGAGGGACTTTCTGCAGCCATTAAGTCAATCAGGGATTAATACCTTTCTCTTGGGAATGAGTAGATACAAAGCAAGACTGCCTCCAGTGTTTCGTTTCTTCTGTACACTTGTGCTTCCTTTCACAAGTTGAAGTAACATAGGCCCTCACCAGAAACTAAAAATAATGCCAGTGCCACACTGTTGGTCTTCCCAGACTCTAAAACCATGAGCCAAAACAAACTTCATTTCTTTATAAGTTACCCAGCCTCAGGTATTGTGTTACAGCAACAGAAAATGGACATTGATGCTGTTACAGTTTAGATTTAAAATGTCTCCCAAAAGTCTCATATACTTGAAAGATGATTAGATCTTGGGGAACACTATACTCGTGAGTGGATTCATCAATTGATGAGTTCAGTAGCTGAATATATTGCTGGAGGGGAAGCCTGATTGGAGATGTGTCCCTGAGGATGTAACATCAAAAAGTGTATTCTTGTCCTTGGCTCCCTTCTTCCTCTTCCTCTTCTTCCTCTTCTTCCTCTTCTTCCTCTTCTTCTTCCTCTTCCTCTTCCTCTTCCTCTTTCTTCTTCTTCTTCTTCTTCTTCTTCTTCTTCTTCTTCTTCTTCTTCTTCTTCTTCTTCTTCTTCTTCTTCTTCTTTTTTCTGCCTGGATACCATGAAGTGCAGCTTTCCTCCTCCATACATTTCTACCATGTCTTTTCTGCCTTGGATCCACCTGACTATACACTGAGCCAAAATAAACCTTTCCTCCTTTAAATTGTGGGTGTTGATATTAAATCATCACTAGCTATTGTAATGTCTTGTTTTTTTCAAAATAGCTGTTCATATCTTGTAAGCCTGAAGAGTTATGTAAAAACTCAAAAGTTTTACTTGATATAAAATCTTAGCCTGAATAACACTATTCAAATTATTTTCTATTCTACCTTTAAAAGCCTATTAGATCATTTAGTACCTTTATCAAGATATAATTCACATACCATGAACTTTATCCTTTTAAAATGTACAATTCAATGGTGTTTAATATATTCATAGAGTTGTATGCCCATCATCACAAAAGGCTTTTGTGTACAAAATTTACAGGTATTATTATTATTATTGGTCTATAAAAATGTAAGAAAATCTTCCTTATGTCTCAACAATAATTTGAAATCCGAATCTTCCTGTGGCAAAAACCATCTCAAACTGCACATAATTGATATCCAACTTATCTAATCTCACTTTTTTTGAAACCTCTTACACCTAATTTTTGGGTTTTTTATTTTAAAGTGAAAGAAATAAAAACAAAGATACGGAATTTAAACAAGACAATAGGAAATTAACAATGACTAACATATTATGTTTTGTTATTTTTAGAGTAGTTGCTCAGATTATGAAATATAGGTGTGCATAACTGATCAAACAATATAAGCACAATCCACTCTTTTCAACCAACTAAGAGAAATCAGTAGTATAGTTAACTATCTTTTGTACACATATATATATTGTTTTTTCTTTTTCCTTCCTTTTTTTATCCTTTCACTCATCTCAGTTGTTCTGTACTTTTGAGCTTTTTTTTTTTCCTTTCACCATAGCTATTGTACATTTTGGGTCTTTTTCAGGTTCTTCCACTGGGCAGATAATTCAATATTTACACATGTAGGTCTGGTTTATTTCACTTACAAGTATGGACTCAGTTACAGCCATTTACCTATAAAAGCCTCGAGTTTACCTTCTTTATTGCTGAGTAGTATTCCATTATATTAAATACCACATCTTTTTAATCTGTTCATTGATTGATGGACATTTGGGTTGTTTCCAAGATTTAGCTATTACAAATTGTGCTGCTATAAATATGGATGCACATATGTGGCTGTTCTATGGTATTTTCAATTCATCTAGGAAAATACCCAGGAAAGGGAATAGCTGGGTGAAATGGAACCTCTAGTCCTAGTTTTCCCTTTTGAGGAATCTCCACATTGATTTCCCCAATAGTTGTATCAGTCTACACCTTCACCAACAGTGGAGACCGGTTCTTTTTTCCCCACAACCCAGCATTTGTTATTGATTGATTTCTTGATAATAGCCATTCTTTCTAGGGTGAGATGGAATCTCAGCATTGTTTTAATTTGCATTTCTCAAATGACAATGATGTTGAACATTTTTTCCCTATATCTATTTGACATTCATATTTCTTCATCTGAAAAGTATTTTTTTCATCTCAGATGCCCATTTTTGGATTGAGGCTTTGAATTAAGGAGGTGGGTCTGAGTTTTTTAAATTCTTTATATGTCCTACATACAAGTCCTTTGTTTGAGGGATAGTTGGCTAAAATTTTTTCCCACTCTGTGGGTTGTCTTTTCACTGTTGGTAATTTCTTTTGAAGTGCAAATCTTTTTAATAAGATGAGATCTCAGTTTTTGATTCTGTAAAGTACTTCCCATCCAGTTTGGGTTTTGTTCACGAACTCTCTGCCCATCCCTATGTCTTCAAGATTTCCACCTACTTTCTCTTCCAGTAGATTTAGTGTTTCTGTTTTAATATTTAGATCTTTCATACATTTTGAATTTAGTTTAGTATGTGATGATAGACATGGGTCGTTTTAGTTGTCAGCGTGTAGAAAGCCAGTTTTCCAGCACCATTTATTAGAGGCTATCTTTCTTCCAATGAAAATGTTTTGACCCGTTGTCAAAAACAAAGTAACTGACTGTGTTTGTAGTTGTGTCTGCATCTTCTAATCTGTTTCACTGATCCTCAGGACTCTTTTTTCTAGTACCATGCTGATTTTATCATAGTTATCTTTATAGTATAATTTCAAGTCAGGGATTGTGATGCCTCCTGCCTTGCCTTTGTTGCCCAGGACTGCCTTTGCTATTCTTGGTCTCTTCTGTTTCCAAATGAATTTTAGGAATGTTTTCTCTAAATCTGTGAGGTTATACCCAATTTGTAATACCTTTTGCTTGCTGCTCTTTCCTACTGTCAGGCTTTTCTGAAGCTTCCCACAGCCCAACTGCAGCTAATGAAGAATAAAAGGAAAACATGCAACCAACAGTATAAGATGAAAAGCTTCTGGTAGCTTCAGAAAGACAGTTCGTTCATAAAGCCATCCTCAGTTAACATATGCTTCATGTGCAATTTCTTCTTGTATTCTTTTTCATGTATTGTTCAAAATGTATACTCTAGGACGCGCGTGGCCATAGGTCTGCAGAGGAGGAGCTGGGCAGATCTGGGGTGCCCTCACTGGCCTCTCTGCGTGTCTGGAGGACTCTGGATATCTGCGCCCAGACTGCTGGAGTTCCCTCAGGCTTCCAGGTGCAGTGAAGGGGAGAGGTGGGTTTGAGGCTTCCACATCAGCCTCCCCATTCCCGGCTTCACTTGGAGACCTGCTGAGCTCCCCATAGGTGGGCTGGCCCACACTACCAGCCTAGCCCAGCCTGTTTAGCTGCCCCGCCTGGCCATAGGTCTGCAGAGGAGGAGCTGGGCAGATCTGGGGTGCCCTCACCGGCCTCTCTGCGTGTCTGGAGGACTCTGGATATCTGCGCCCAGACTGCTGGAGTTCCCTCAGGCTTCCAGGTGCAGTGAAGGAGAGAGGTGGGTTTGAGGCTTCCACATCAGCCTCCCCATTCCCGGCTTCACTTGGAGACCTGCTGAGCTCCCCATAGGTGGGCTGGCCCACACTACCAGCCTAGCCCAGCCTGTTTAGCTGCCTCGCCTGGCCATAGGTCTGCAGAGGAGGAGCTGGGCAGATCTGGGGTGCCCTCACCGGCCTCTCTGCGTGTATGGAGGACTCTGGATATCTGCACCCAGACTGCTGGAGTTCCCTCAGGCTTCCAGGTGCAGTGAAGGGGAG